GGAGGACCCCATTTGGTTTTTTATTCAGTACCTTTAAGCTATCAATTAAATATGGTAGTTTCATAGTGTCATCTGATCAATAATTGTCATACTTAATGATTATGCAAGTACAGATCTATAATTTTATTATACTATTATTTTCGTTCTCATTTGAGGTTAATATTGCTTATAAACCTAGATATGTAAATAATTAAATTTTATTATTTTACAAAAAGTTTGGCAACAATGTAAATTTTTCAACACACCCACCTTGATGACGTGCACGCCACTTTGTTTGGCGTTGACTATATAAGTTTATGTGTTACCATGTGAGTCGAAAGTCATGTGGTATGCATAAATGAACTGTCAAAGGTATGCCTTTTATAGTCATGGATTCGTTTACAACACAACAACGCATTTTGATTATCCAAACTTATTACGAAAACGGTCGAAATATGAAAAATACTTTTCGCAAAGTTCGTACTAGTTTTGGTCAACATGGAATTCGTTGGATTGTCAATCGTTTTGAGGAAACTGGTTCAGCTGAAGGTCGTGGACCATACCGACATGCTCGTCCAGCTCGTACTCATGAAAACATAGCCGCAGTGAGTGAAAGTATACGAGAAGATCCAACCACCTCGACTAGGCACCGTTCGCAACAAGTGGGAATTAGTGAGACCACTTTACGCCGGATTTTACACATTGATTTACACCTCCATCCAGACAAAATCCAACTAACACAAGAACTGAAGCCGGCAGGCCATCAACAGCGGCGTGTTTTTGTTGATTGGATGCTGGAAAGAGAAGACGGATTTTCGGCCAAAGTGCTCTTTTCTGATGAGGCACGTTTTCACCTCAATGGGTACGTAAATAAGGAAAACTGCAGATTCTGGGAGGCTGAAAATCCACACCAATATCATGAACAACCTCTCCATTCTGAAAAAGTGACCGTTCGGTGCGGATTATGGGCTGGTGGCATCGTTGGACCATTCTTCTTTGAAGATGCCCCGTCAACGGGGAACGTTATCGCGGCACGTTAACAGACTTTTTGTGGCCACAATTGGATCGTATTGGTGCCGACGATCTTTGGTTTCATCAAGACGGAGCAACGGCTCGCACATCGCGCCAAACAATCGCCTTATTGCACGCGAAATTTCCAGACCGCATAATTTCACGAAATTCAGATGTCAGTTGGCCCCGCAGATCGTGCGATTTAACACCTCTTGACTATTTTCTTTGGAGATTTTTGAAAGGTATGCGAATGGTCCCCGGACAATTCAAGACCTAAAGCGCAATATTCGGAGTAAAATTGCGCCCATAGACCCGATTATTCTGGGTACTAATTTCTGGTACCCTTCGCTAAGGTAACTGAAAACTTCCAAGCAAGGTGAGAGCAACTTTGATAGTAGTTGTAAATAACATGTCAATTAAGGTACCTTTTAGAGTAATTGACATATTTTACAACCATTTTAATTTTTTAGTTTGAGGTTATGCTTTAAATGTTATGCTGGTTGCCAATATTGAAGCATTAACAGTGTCCAAAATTGAACTATACATCCTCCAAATTGCTTATTGTGTTTTAGATAGCTGTAGTGGAGAGATTTCTGGTATTCGCGTAAAATACTTACTTATTATTTATTTTTAGATGGCAAAACGTGGAAATTATGGAACATGGTCAGCAGATCATATGGAAAAAGCTTTAAAAGCATACAATAATGGTGAAAAAGGACTAAACCAATGCAGCCGAGATTATGGTATTTCCAAATCTACACTACTTCGTCTTGAAAGAAATACAAATAAAATAGCCAAAGGCTCAAAGAGAGCGCATAACACAGTTTGCAAACTGCTTGTTCGGTTTAACAATACGTGATATCAGAAAACTTGCATTCGACTTAGCTCAAAAAAGTAGGCTTCCTCACCAGTTCAATAGAGAGGTCAAAATAGCAGGAAAGAAATGGTACTACCGTTTTATGAAGAGGCACCCACAGTTAGCGCTGCGTCAGCCTGAGTCTACTTCAATTAATAGGATAAAAGGATTTAACAGAGAAAATGTTATGCATTTTTTTGGTTTACTCGGAGGAATATGTGAAAAATACAAAATCAATGCTACCACCATCTTTAATGTGGACGAGTCTGGTTTCTCGACTGTAGCTAAGAAATGTCAGAAAATTGTGGCCAGGAAAGGTTCAAAAGCTGTCGGATCAATCGCAAAGAAAATAAAGTGTTACTTCTTATGGATGGTCACAGGACTCATTGTAAAAACCTTGCAGCTCTTCTTTTAGCAAAGGAGAATGGAGTGGTTTTGCTGCAATTGCCTGGACATACGACGCACTGCTTACAACCTTTAGATAAGGCTTTTAAACCATTGGAGACAAACTGTACACAGGCTTCAGAGAGATGGTTGAGGAGTAATCCTGGACGCGCAGTGGCGCAATATAAGTGGCGGAGCTCTTAAATGCAGCATATGGAAAAGCAGCGACCATTGAGACTGCAATAAATGCGTTTAGATCATCTGGTGTTTGGCCTGTCAATGACTCCCATTTCGTAGCATCTGAAGTGCTTAGACCTAGTGTAAATCCGACAAAAGAAGCTTCTAGACTTGGAAATCAGGAAAGTAGTGATGATGACGACAACCCTCTATCCATACTAAAAATTCAACAGGTTGTACCAAGTGCCTGCTCTACATCTGTAGCGGATAATACAGAAATGAAGTTATTTTTTATTTTGTTGCTACTGCTTAATCTTTGTAGATAATGTGTAGGTTGAATTTAGGATAGCTGGGGTTCAATATGGGCAACACGTGTCCCAAAATGAACCATGTGCAATTGCTTTGTTTTTAATTAATTAGTCATATAGTTCATTATTTTAAATAGTATTTATACATACCTATGTGTTCTCAAATATCCAAAGTATACTTTAGATCAACTGGATTTATTATTTAAATAACTTTCCCTATGCTAGAGAGATTTTTAGGAAAAGTGGTTCAGTATGGGAAACCTTACCCTACATACTTTAGGACTTCTACGAGGCACCTTTGACTAACAAGCATGGTACTGTCTTCGGAGGTTGAAAATTTCGAAACACTACAAACATTTTCCGCTATGGATGGTTAAATACCGTTAAATTGGTGCCAAGTAGATTGACTCAGTACTTCGCAACTATTCACCTATTCCTATTTTCAAATTTTCCAGGAGTCAAGATAAGGCTTTTGATAAAGAAGCAAGATGTTTGAGCTCCATAATGTTTTTGAATATAACCTAAATTGAAACAAGCAGAATAGGCATGTGTTCAATGACTCTCATTTCGTAGCATCTGAAGTGCTTAGACCTAGTGTAAATCCGACAAAAGAAGCTTCTAGACTTGGAAATCAGGAAAGTAGTGATGATGACGACATCCCCCTACCCATACTAAAAATTCAACAGGTTGTACCAAGTGCCTGCTCTACATCTGTAGCGGATAATACAGAAATGAAGTTATTTTTCATTTTGTTGCTACTGCTTAATCTTTGTAGATAATGTGTAGGTTGAATTTAGGATAGCTGGGGTTCAATATGGGCAACACGTTTCCCAAAATGAACCATGTGCAATTGTTTTGTTTTTAATTAATTAGTCATATAGTTCATTATTTTAAATAGTATTTATACATACCTATGTGTTCTCAAATATCCAAAGTATACTTTAGATCAACTGGATTTATTATTTAAATAACTTTCCCTATGCTAGAGAGATTTTTAGGAAAGGTGGTTCAGTATGGGTAACCTTACCCTAGTTTAGGACTTCTACGAGGCACCTTTGACTAACAAGCATGGTACTGTCTTCGAAGGTTGAAAATTTCGAAACACTACAAACATTTTCCGCTATGGATGGTTAAATATCGTTAAATTGGTGCCAAGTAGACTGACTCAGTACTTCGCAACTATTCACCTATTCCTATTTCCAAATTTTCCAGGAGTCAAGATAAGGCTTTTGCTAAAGAAGCAAGATGTTTGAGCTCCATAATGTTTTTGAATATAACCTAAACTGAAACAAGTAGAATAGGCATTGTGTTCAATGACTCCCATTTCGTAGCATCTGAAGTGCTTAGACCTAGTGTAAATCCGACAAAAGAAGCTTCTCGACTTGGAAATCAGGAAAGTAGCGATGATGACGACATCCCTCTATCCATACTAAAAATTCAACAGGTTGTGCCTGCTCTACATCTGTAGCGGATAATATAGAAATGAAGTTATTTTTTATTTTGTTGCTACTGCTTAATCTTTGTAAATAATGTGTAGGTTGAATTTAGGATAGCTGGGGTTCAATATGGGCAACACGTATCCCAAAATGAACCATGTGCAATTGTTTTGTTTTTAATTAATTAGTCATATGGTTCATTATTTTAAATAGTATTTATACATACCTATGTGTTCTCAAATGGAAAAGTGGTTCAGTATGGGCAACCTTACCCTACTTTAGGACTTCTACGAGGCACCTTTGACTAACAAGCATGGTACTACTGTCTTCGGAGGTTGAAAATTTCGAAACACTACAAACATTTTCCGCTTTGGATGGTTAAATACCGTTAAATTGGTGCCAAGTAGATTGACTCAGTACTTCGCAACTATTCACCTATTCCTATTTTCAAATTTTCCAGGAGTCAAGATAAGGCTTTTGATAAAGAAGCAAGATGTTTGAGCTCCATAATGTTTTTGAATATAACCTAAACTGAAACAAGCAGAATAGGCATGTGTTCAATGACTCCCATTTCGTAGCATCTGAAGTGCTTAGACCTAGTGTAAATCCGACAAAAGAAGCTTTTAGACTTGGAAATCAGAAAAGTAGTGATGATGACGACATCCCTCTATCCATACTAAAAATTCAACAGGTTGTACCAAGTGCCTGCTCTACATCTGTAGCGGATAATACAGAAATGAAGTTATTTTTCATTTTGTTGCTACTGCTTAATCTTTGTAGATAATGTGTAGGTTGAATTTAGGATAGCTGGGGTTCAATATGGGCAACACGTGTCCCAAAATGAACCATGTGCAATTGTTTTGTTTTTAATTAATTAGTCATATAGTTCATTATTTTAAATAGTATTTATACATACCTATGCGTTCTCAAATATCCAAAGTACACTTTAGATCAACTGGATTTATTATTTAAATAACTTTCCCTATGCTAGAGAGATTTTAAGAAAAGTGGTCCAGTATGGGCAACCTTACCCTACTTCAGAACTTCTACGAGGCACCTTTGACTAACAAGCATGGTACTGTCTTCGGAGGTTGAAAATTTCGAAACACTACAAACATCTTCCGCTATGGATGGTTAAATATCGGAAAAATTGGTGCCAAGTAGATTGACTCAGTACTTCGCAACTATTCACCTATTCCTATTTTCAAATTTTCCAGGAGTCAAGATAAGGCTTTTGCTAAAGAAACAAGATGTTTGAGCTCCATAATGTTTTTAAATATAACCGAAACTGAAACAAGCAGAAACGCTGAAAGCAACATTTAAATTTTTTAAAATTTTCTCCTATTCACAAATATTTAAAATATTCAGAAGTTTTCAAGCGAACAAAAACAAACTTTGGGACGATCTTGAAGGTACTTGAATTTCGACTTATAAAACTGCTGCCATTCAAACGATGTTGAAAATTAAATAGCATTACCTACTATGACCCCACATGGATTTACGTGTTGTAAACATCGCAACGCAAAAAAACATTTATCTGAATTTCTAAAATGTCCCCATTCCCCCCTGCGGACGCTCGTGGCCAATACATAACAATTCATATTATTATTCAGTAAAGTCTATTCTCCATTTGGGATTCGCCCCTACAGATGTTGATATTGCGGCCCCTGAGGAGCAAGCTACGCCACTGTTACACACGGTCACCTGTTTTGCACTAGATTAATTTTTGGCATCGATTCATAATTCACCTAAAAAGATACTATCACTATCAATCGTCCTCTCTAGTACAGTTCATATTCTCGGGCGTCAATTTGGCGTTAAACTTCGGTACGACATCTCGTTTTTTCCTTCTTCCAGAGTGCGGACTCAGCCAGTAGGCTTTGATCATGTCCGCTCCTTTTTCTCCAATCATCAGCACTGGGGCGTTGATGTTTCCGTTTGTCACGAACGGCATGATTGAGGCGTCGATCACTCGAAGGCCGGAAACACCATAAACCTGGAAAGGGAAGATTAGTGACCAACAAATATATGGGTATTTACCAAAAAATTTAGAAATTTCATTTTGCATTTCTTAAAAAAAAATCAATGAAAATATATCATTTTTTTGCAGAAATATAAAGTTTTACTTTAGTGATGTTCATTGAAAATGAACGTCCTCCATATTTTTGTGTATAACATGTAGAAAAATGTGTTTTAAAAAACTATGAAATGATTGAATGACTGATAGGATGGGGCAATAATTTTTACAATAATTTGATGCTGGATTTCAATGAAAATCGTAAGTTAATTTATTAATAGATGTATTGAGATTTGTATAGTACTTCAGAGAGCTTAGATAGTCCTTCTTCCCTAGACACATTCTCGTATTTCCATCCTTCTCTAAGAAATTAACATCACCTCTAACTTTCAGCATTTTGGTACTAACTTTGGTACAGTTCTTTTTGTACGTATCGTTTTTGATTATTAATTTCGGACCCAGGGACGAGATGAGGGAATGACTTTTAGACTAATAAATTAACCGTATTTTTTGTGTGTCAATATATTATCTAAATTTATGAGTTTGAAATATTAGTGTATACTTTATCTGAAGTCACTTGAAACACTGTGAAATACCGGGTGCGTTTTATATATCTATATTTAACACGCTCTGTTGCTGCAAAAATCGCCAAATTTCGCAGCAAATATATAAGAGATCAAAGGCAGTTTCACCGGTCCACGTGGAGTAAAGCGCGCCTATGCGTGGACATAGCCAATGAGAAAGCGTGTATTTCAGAGCTCGGAACAAGTGCAGGTGGCTACTGAAAATTGAAACAGTTTAGCCAGTGCCGTGTAGCGGTGAATAAACGTGTTTTCTTTAGTCTGTCCGTGTTTTTTCATAGATTTTATTAGTTTGTGTGTTTTTGACTTTTGAATACTCAGTTTACTTGTTGATTTAATTGTTGTGTTGATTGTTCTTGTGTGTCCTAAATATGGCTCTTTGGAGACCTTGGGAAAATGCTCCAAGCCACGAGGAGATGGTTGATGAACCTGTGCAGGCAGAATTCTTTCATAAAGATTTAGCGGAACAGACCCAAAGAGTAATCCTAAATATGTATGATTGTCTGAAAAACGAAAATCCAGATTCCTCGCAAAATCAAATTTTAAACAGAATTTGTATCCTGACAAAAATCAGTCGGTCTACCATTTATCGGGTTATAAAAAGGGGAGATGTAGTCAACCATTCCTTCCACAGAAAGCGCATAGGGCAAAAATTAAGAAGAATAGACGTGGGTTTTCAGGAAGATATTCGTCGTATAATATATGGATTTTATAAAGAAAATTTGGTGCCCACGTTGGAAATGATACGGGATAAATTAAAAGATTATCCTGAAGATTTTTATAATTACAAATGCTTAGACTCACTGCACTGTATTGTAAAACTGTGTGGTTCTCAATACAAAAAATTAGATAAAGGAATGGTGATTAGGGAGTTGTCTCGAATCGTTGAATTGCGCCAAGAATTTTTGCACAAAGTTAAAATCTATAGAGAGCAGAAAAGAAATCTGATTTACCTGGATGAAACGTGATATGATACCCCATGATGTTGTGCAGTACGGCTGGGTTGACGACAGCAACAAGTGCATTTTAAATGCACCATGCAACCGTGGAAAACGAATCACTATTCTCCATGCTGGCAGTGAAAATGGATTTATACCTAATGCCTTGCTGTTATCTGCCAAAAATATCAAAGAATCATGTGCCGACTATCATGAGGACATGACCTCCGACTTATTTGAAAAGTGGATAGAGCAGCAGTTAATACCAAACATTTCCCCAAATTCAGTAATTATTATGGACAATGCGCCATACCATTCCCGACAGAAAAACAAAATTCCGAATACAGGCACAAAAAAACAAGACATTATTGATTTTATGAAGGATAAGGGAATGGAAATACCACAAAAATCAACCAAAGCCATATTATTGGATCTTATTAAAAGACAAAAATTTGAAAAAGAGTATGTTGTTGACAATCTGCTTCAGCAAAATGGCCAAGAAGTATTACGTCTACCTCCCCATTACTGCATTTTTAACCCGATTGAGTTGGTCTGGGCTGCTTTAAAAAAAAAGTAAGAAAACATAATCAGACCCCTCAATTAAGTGAATCGGTATTGGCCACAATAAGAGATGCAGTATCTCATATTGCTGCCACAGACCTATGGAAGCAGTGTTCTAGGCATATTATTGAAAAAGAAAATGAATATTGTGTTTTGCCTCCTGTAAATCCCGTTGTAATTCCTCTACAAGATGACTCTAGCGACAGCTCCGAAGGCGAGGATGATATATAAATACCTATAATGTAAGTCTTTATATACCTTTTTATATACCTACCTGCTATGTAAATATTTGCCTATGTCAAACGTTGGAATTCTGTAATTTTTCCATTTCTTAACTTTCAGTCAACATAAATTAAACTCCCAATATAAGTATTTTTTATCCCAAATCAAAAAATAAGAAGATAGTAAAATCCATTTATTGTGATATAAAAACATTATTATTATCGTTCTAAATAAATGCCGCACGCCTATGATACGTCATGAAATTACAAAGGACGCGCCGACCAAAGGTTTTTATGCTATTTCAAGTGACTTCAGATACACCATACTCGTAGATATTTTACTTATTGATATAATAAAAATGTTAAATTGATGATAAATCCATGTAACTTAGCATCAATGGCTCAAGACATGAATTTCGAAATATTCTGAGAAATACCCATATGTTTTATGAAATTTTATTAGTCGTTTAAGATTAATTTAGCATGATGGGCACAATCACATTTATTTGCATCTCTAAGAATTTTCACTGTTTTCTTTTAAAAATCTTTAAATTACAATTAGACCTTATTATATCGTTATTTGGTTCACTAAATTTTTTCTGAAATTGCAATTTTGTAAATGAAGATCTGTATTTCCTCGTGTTTAATAATTGTGGTAATGATTATTCCATTCTATGTAATGTTCTAAATGTTGTGGCAAAAGATGATGTTTCATTTTAAATTTAAAAATAATAACCAAGTATATGAAATTTTTTATATTCAACCACTGCGATTCCTATAACATCAGGTTTTATTTTGGTATATTCATTTTTATTTAATATTATTCTCATAGCTTTATTTTGCAGAACCGGTAATTTTGAACAAAGTAACTGCCGTAGAATAATTGTATTATTAGTGAGAAAATTCGGTTACTGATAATTAAATTTTTTAATTCTGGGAAATCAAACTCAGAAATTGCAACTTTGTTAGTCTTATCACGGTACAGTGTGAGAAATATTGTTAGAAGATGTAACGTAACTGCTTGCCACGATATGTGATAAAAAGTAATATCAAAAATGCCGATCGAAGAGCATTAAGAAGAATAATCGTGAAAAACAGGCGTGCCAATTTTACAATTAAGTGCTCTGTGGAGTGACGCTGTTGGAAGGAGAATTTCGAGGTCCACAACTCATAGAGAGACCCACAAACTGGGATTTAGCAATTGCAAGGTAAGTTTTCTTATAAAAAAAAGTGAAGTAAAAACCCTAACGTTGCACAACTTGTTTATAGGCCAAAGAAAAGCCACTATTAACTCCACTGCAAAAGAAAAATCGGCTTAGATGGGCTAAAGAACATAGACAATGGACACCTCAACAATGGTGTGCAATACAATGGAGTGATGAGGCCTGATTCGAAGTTTGTGTTGGTGACAGTGGCAGTAGAGAAATTCGCAAAAAAATGAAGTATTCCATATTGACTGTCTGAAGAGAAAAATGAAATTTCCAGCATCCATTATGGTCTGGGGCAGTATGTCATCAAAAGGAGTAGGGAAACTTCATTTTATTGATGGAAATGTGGATACAAACAAATATTTGGCAATTTTAGAAGAATCGCTTTTACCAGTGATGGAAGAATGTTTGACACCCCGCCAAGATTTCGTGTTTCAGCAAGGTGGTGCAGCGTGAGATACCTCAAAAAAGGCTATAAAATGGATGGAGGAAAATAATGTACCACTTTTGAAATGGGTTTCTAGCAGTCCAGATCTGTCACCTATTAAAACTTTGTGGCACGAGATGAAAAAGGTTCTACGACAACATCCTGCTCGTACAATCACCGAACTGAGACAAAAGCTTCAAGAAATATGGGATTGTTTTACACCAAATTTTTGCCAAAACTTGCTTAACACTATGCCCCAAAGAATTTCAGCCGTAATAAAAAATAAAGGTGATTGTGTGCACATTGTTTATTTGTTCAGATGTTCTATTAGTTATAGATCTAAGTGATTTCAAATATGTATTTTTTACGACTAGAGTGTATCAAAAATGTTTTTGAGAAAATAAATTGTTTAAGAAGTAAATAGTTTCGTCATGTTTAGTTTATAAAGGCATATTTTGGTACAAATCTTAAAGTGGGCCAACTGAAGTGGGAAGGGGCTCGTATACGTAGACACCACTAAACGTAGCTTCCAAACACGCATCAAGGAGCATGAAAGAAGCTGTCGACTGGGACCAACTGATAAATCAGCGGTGGCCGAACACGCACTCCAAGACGGCTACAATGTTCTGTTCGACCAAACTGAAGTCCTATCAACATCCACTCACTACTCAGCCCGAATATACAGAGAAGCAATTGAAATCTACAAACACAATGACAATTTCAATAGAAAAGAAGAAGGCCTTGCTTTAAACAAAACGTGGTTCCCAATTCTAAAAAACACCGCGCAAAAGACACGTCACTCAAGAGGCCCAGAGTACCCCCACCAGACAACTCGGTCCTCAGTCGACCCGCCAAGCCGAGCACTTCGCTCTCGCCGACAGCGCCACTGAAGATGGCTACCGCAGATTTAGCCGCAAGCTCTGGACTAAATCCAACCCGACCACGGCTCAACAGCCCGAAAAACCTAAATTACATCTATCTTGTTGATTCAGCACTTTTCCACTCTGAGTTTTCCACGATTCATCCCATTTCAAAATAATCTCATATATATAATATCGACCAATAAGTCTCGTTCCTATCGCCGCCAAAATAGCTGAAAGAATCATATTAGATAAGCTAAGCTATAAGATTGGCTTTCGAAAAGCAAGGATTTCTCCCTGGTCGATCAACAATGACCAACCTTCTCCACTCTCTCAACGATTGGACTCAGTATCTGGACACAAAGAATCCTGTTGATATAATCTACTTAGATTTTTCTAGGGCTTTCGATCGCGTACCACATAGAAGGCTTCTGTTTAAGTTGGAATGTATGGGAATAAGAGGCGAGTTGTTACTGTGGATTAAGGCTTTTCTCACCGGGAGGACTTTCTCTGTGCGCGTCAACGATAGCCAGTCTCACCTTCATCATGTAGCAAGTGGAGTTCCTCAAGGCTCTGTCTTGGGGCCAGTGCTGTTCCTTCTGTATACAAGTGACCTGCCCGCATTGATTTCCTCCACTTGTTCAGCTTATGCCGATTTACAATACTGTCGTAAATTCTGCTATGCTTCAACGAGATCTTGATATTGTTTGTCAATGGTCAGTCAGTTGGCTTTTACCCTTAAATCTAACTAAGTGTTGTGTCCTTCACCTCGGGAAGACAAATCCGCGATTTACATACAAGATCTCTGACCACAACATCGAAGCAGTTTCCAGCCACACTGATCTGGGCGTTGTAGTCAACGATCGTCTTTCCTGGTCAGAGCATATTCACCACGTTACATCAAAAGCCAAGAAACTTCTATACATGCTGGAGAGGTCTTTCAAAGGATCCGATGTCAACACTTGCGCCTACATTTACAAGGCATTCGTGAGGCCAATTCTTGAATTCGCTGGCCCGGTATGGGACACTGTGCTTCTGCGCGATAGAAATCTCGTCGAATCAGTACAGCGTCGGGCTACTCGTATCCCTTTTGGAGCACGAAGACCAAGCTATGAAGATCGCCTTGAATTATTCAACCTGACCTCATTCTCTGAGCGAAGACTTCGTGGCGATCTTATAGTTACGTTCAGGATACTTCATGGTTTGATGAGCACCAACCTCATGCATCTATACCGTCTGTCGCGCAGCAATTTACGCGGACACAGCTTCAAACTGCATAAGGAGCCATTTAAAACAACAGTCCGACAGTGGTTTCTTCCCAACCGCATATTCAACACCTGGAATAATTTACCTGAAAGTGTGGTTGGTGCTACTTCAGTTAATAGCTTCAAAGTGCAGTATGATAGCTGGAGGAGTGTACAAACTTTATAGCTATGAACTGTCTTTTTTTATTTTTTTCTATTTGATGTATTTGTGTTACGTGTCCGTACACTATATTTACTGCATGAGCTTATAGTACTGTGTACTCTGCTCATCTCAATTATCATAATAATAATAATAAAACAAGGTTCTGACGGAAAATATAATTACCCTGAGCTCAGGATCGACAACAGCCCATGGATCCGTTTCCGGTCCCATTTTAGCTGTACACGAATAATGATATATGGACAACGTATACTGCCTGATGTAGCAGTCCCAATACTCGTCCGTGTATAGAGGCAGATGCTTGCAGTTTGGTGGCGGTACCGCGTGAAATCTGGCACCAAACCTGCGCAAAGCTTCAGTCTGGCCGTATGCAACTGCTGCTTTGGTGCCTTCGCGAAGAACGTTCACATCGTGGGGGTGACTGAGGTAGTTGTGGTAGAGAAGAGGGTAGTCGAGAGGGTCTTTCGATCTGAAAGAAAAAACAAATAACAGTAAAATGAAGATTTGCCTATGTTGTAAAGGAACTCCATGATCATCATAATGTTTAGTTATGTATACTAAGCGACATATAAATCCGAACACCCAGTTTAAATGGTTTCATTTTAATAAAAGTTGGTGAATGTATTTATCTTACCGTAAATAACAAGTGAAAAAATGTTCAGCCTTATCATTTGGACATTACGGTTTTTATACTGCTTTTTTTTAATTCACTAACGCTCTAAAAATGAATATTTCAGCCGCAGTAAAGAATCAACGTTGGCGGATTTTGGTTCTTGACATCCTTTACGATCGGTTACGATGCCTAGAGTACGGAGACCTGTACGATATCGTCAACTTAGTGAGTTTGATAGGGGCCATATAGTGGGACTTCGGGAAGCTGGACTTTCTTTTCGGGCAATTGCAGTTAGAGTGCAAAGAAGTGTAGACACTGTGGTTAGGTGTTGTCAGGCATGGCTTCGAGAAGGCCGTACGCAAAGAGCAAGGGTCACTGGACGCCGCCGTAGAACAACAGACCGTGAAGATCGCCGCCTAAGACTATTGGCCTTAAGGGACCGTTTCTCCACTACCAGGTCCATTGCAAATGAATGGTTTACAGAACACGGAACACCTATTGGCATGCGAAGTGTTTACCGACGAATGAGAAGTTTTGGCTTGTTTTCATACCGGCCACACTGGGTCCTCGCTTTAACTCGAGAACACCGACGTAATCACCTTGAGTGGTGCAGACAACGGTAACTCTGGGATCAGGAATGGAACAGTATTATCTTTAGTGACGAGTCTCGATTTTGTTTAGGCATGCACGATGGTCGTGCCAGGGTTAGAAGGCGACGTGGTGAAAGGAGGAATCCACAGTTGTTTGTTGAAAGACATATTCATCACACTGTTGGAGTTGTGGTACTATAGCTTATGGTTCCAGGTCACCTTTAATCTTCATCAGAGGTAACATGAACGCGCAGCGTTATATCCACCAAGTTCTAGAACCCCATCTTTTACCCTATCTTGACACCCTGGCAGATTCAACTTTCCAACAAGATAATGCCCGGCCACATGTTGCAAGAGTCACAATGGACTTCTTTCAACATAATGATGTCACATTGTTACCATGGCCACCAAGATCTCCCGACTTATCCCCAATTGAGCACGTGTGGGATATAATGGGTAGGAGATTGCTCAATTTGCAACGTTCTCCTCAGACTCTAGAAGCACTTCGAGAGGAGTTGGTGGTTGCCTGGAATGAGATACCACAGGAGGACATTGACCACCTGATCAGAAGCATGCCTAGGCGCGTTGGAGAATGCGTAGCACATCAGGGTGCATCCACACATTATTAAAGGTCAAAGGGCTTTGAAGCAGTGCAATCATTTTGAAATTTTTATCATTTACTTATTATGCTTCATTAAGTACTTATACAAAATTTTATTAAAATAAAACCATTTAAACTGGGTGTTCGGATTTATATGTCACTTAGTATATACTAAAAAAGGTAAACAGCTACGTATGTTTATTAGAATTCAAGAATTTTGTACATATTGATTTATTTTGATACAAGCGATAAAATGGTCAGGTTTTCCTGTTAAGTTTTTGTGTCGGTTGTGAGTATTGTTTGGTGATAAAGAAGCATTCAGTTTTCGTACATTTACGGTGTCAGTTTGTCTGACTAATTCTTATGTCGCCATTGACCGCACTATACTCCACTCCGCTCTGCTCTGGTGTAATCTGTACTCGCTGCTTCCATCTCCCGACCGCCCAGTTATACAGGGTGTTTCAGTTTATTGTTGCATAACTTTAAGATTCGATAGAACTTTTAAAATTAATGCATAAAGTCTATATAAACATGGGTCGAAAAATGCGTGGCTTCCGAAATACAGGGTGTTTAAATTTACTTTCTAAAATAGTTTTTTTTCAAATATTTCGAACAATGTTTGATGTATAACAGTGAAAATTGGTATGCAAGGGTTTTTTGGTACGACAAAACGAACCATGGGCATAGTTTTACTGTAGCCGCTAGAGGGCGCTCTATACTTTACCTGTAGTGTATTAAAATGACAGAAAAATTTTTCTTAGTGCAATTTTTGGCTTTTTGAATGAAAAACTGATTCTTCGCACTTTTCAACATAAAAAAGCTCTCTTGTGAATTTTCGTTATAGTTAGCCGTTTTTGAGATATTTCGATTTTTAAGGTTCGATGCATTTTTAATTATTTATGATAAAATAACGTTTACAATTCAGTATCTCGATAATTTTCAGAAGTAGGCTGTGCCTCTAAATATTTTTGAAATTGAAAGCAGAATAAGGTTAAACGTCAATTAGTAGACAGTTAGTTTTGTTGTCTGTTGAAACCTGAAACGTTTTGTTGCAATTGTGAATGCACGAAATTTAGTTTCTTTTACCTGTTTTTTTTTTGTAAGTTTTATAAAAATGCCATTTTTATTCTTCAATCAACAGTTAGCGGATATTCATTTTGTGTATGGCTTTGTAAATGGAAACGCAGCAGAAGCAGCCAGAGAATACGCACGAAGATTTCCAAACAGACGACATCCAACTCGCTCAGTATTTGTAAGAGTGCATCGCCAAATAATTGAAAATGGTTTTGGAGATCTCCAAAGGGATCAAAACATAAATGTTCGTCAGCGCAGATTTACCCGTAGGATTCTGCGTGAGTTTGATAGAGATTCGACCACAAGTGTTAGGAGAGTTTCTGGTGCCTTGGGAATTTCAGCTAGCCATGTTCACCGTGTTGTTAGAAATGACTATAGATGTCCTTACCATTTGCAACCTGTGCAAGGACTACAGCCAGGGGACGGAGAACGAAGAATCACATTTTGTCAGTGGATTCTTGATAGAATGATAATAATAGGGAGTTTTTAAGTAACGTTTTATGGACCGATGAGTCATGCTTCACTAGACGTGGAGTGGTAAATTTTCATAATCAACATATTTGGTCGCATGAAAATCCGCATGCAGTTCAGGAAAGAAATTTTCAGCATGAATTTAGTGTGAATGTGTGGATTGGTATCTACCGTAATCAACTATTTGGACCCTACCTTTTGCCTGCAAGGTTAAATGCTGCGACCTTCTTGGAATTTTTAAAGGCTGAACATGCAAATATGTGGGATGATGTTATGTTAGATTTAAGAAGATTGGCCTGGTTCCAGTTTGATGGTTGTCCAGCTCATTATTCGAGAATAGTTAGAAACTGGCTGGACGAAAATTATCCAGAAAGATGGATCGGCCGTGTAGGACCAGTCGCCTGGCCTCCACGATCCCCTGACCTAAATCCATTAGATTTCTTTGTGTGGGTATTTCTAAAAGAAAAAGTGTACCAGACTCCCGTAACCACAAGAGATATGCTAATAGACAGAATCAGGAATGCATGTAGTAAAATAAGGCCTTATTTGAATAATGCTATACCACGTTCGATCATTCGTAGATGTGAATTGTGTTTTGAACAATTGGGTTTACATTTCGAGCAACTACTTTAGATTTTGTATGTTTGTCCTAACTATTCAATAGAATTTTAGTTGTAAATAATTAATTCAATTTGTTAAAAATAATATTAGAAAATTAAGCAAATTAATATTCTGTTTTTTGTGTTTATTTGGAGTTAGGAATTATTGCTGTGTTTAAAAACACAATCTAAACGATCATCTTAACCTTTAACTACTCGCGCATTTTTATTTCACGTTACTACTCGCGCGGTGTATTTTGTACACCGTTGCAAGTTATGATCCAAATATATGTTTTGTTTGCCCTATAAGTTATAGCTGTGCTAATAAGAGCAACTGTTGAACTCAAATACATATTTATTAGCAAAAATAGTAAACAAAATCAAATAAGACAGTAAAAATAAATTGAAAAAAACAACCATAATTAATAATTCTCTATTCACTATGGGATCCGCCTTCCTTACATTTGTGGCAGGTGATAAGGTTGACACTATGCTCTTTACACACTAACTGGTGACAAATGCTGCATGTAATTGTGGTAACTCTATTTTTTTTTCGGGCGCAGATGGAGCATCTTCCTCTAATTTTTCTGGGTGGCTCCTCTTCTTCATCCATTTGAGTTTGTCTATATCTGGATAGGAAATGTCTGATATCTATAGGTAACGTAGGTATTGCAGCTCTTTCAGAAAGAAAAGGTTTCATCAATGACAGAGCAAGAGTTTTCAGGAAAATTCTTCTGGACTTGTGAGGAGATTCAGGGTGAGTGCCGTTATACAAAATTTGGCTATTGATGCCTGCTATATTTAGCAACTGAAAGAAGAAAGCCAATGGCCACCTTTTTGTTCTTCTTCCAACAGAATAGGTATTGCACATTTTGTCCACTGTGTCCACACCCCCTTTGGTCATATTATAATCTAGAATTATTTCAGGCTTGTTGGTATATGGATCAATAGTGGAGTCGTCGTGCATAGTTGAAATCAAAACCACGCATTTATTTTTTTTTTGGACATGTGAAACTGTCGTTACATCCTTTTGGAATCCAAAAAGTGATGACCCAACCAACCTATTTTTATTTGGCAAGAACTCTATCGGCAGCTCTCGCTTATTCTTCTTCAGGGTTCCGATGAAAGTTATTTTGTCTTGAAGAAGTTCCACTGCCAAAGGGTAACTTGAATACCAATTATCGGAGGTTAGATTTCTATTGCTTCCTTTTTGTTCTGCTAGCAAACGGTGAACGATGGCAGTTGGTGTATTAGATTGGCTATATTGGCCATCTGGTTGTTTTCCACAGTACAGCTCCAAATTACTCACATAAAATGTTCTAGCATCACAGAGCACAAATGCCTTCAAACCATATTTCGCAGGTTTGTTTGGTATGTACTGGACAAAGCTGCATCGTCCTCGGAACGCAATCAACATTTCGTCTATTGTCATAAATTCGCCCATAGAGTAGTTTTTTTTGCAATTACTTACAAATTTATCTAAAACGTACCGCACTGCGGCCAATTTATCTATTTTCTTGC